ACGAGTCTGCACATTTTATTTTGAAATCCAAAGGATTCTCTATGCTGTTTCAGAATCAGAATCAGAAAAACTTTATTGATCCCCGAGGGGAAATTCTGTAACTGACTTCCTGCCCGGTTCATCTGCTCTGTACTGCTTGACGCGTCTTCTGTCAAAAATAGACCGGCTGCCTATTCTCCAGCGCAGCGGAGCGGAAAGATGCTTCTGGGACACGCTGCTGTGCTTCTGGTGTGAGCACAAGCATTGACTACAATGGCCGCACATAGCTCAGGCAGCTGCAGCACAGCCGTAACGGGCGCACACGCCTCCTGTGTCCGGTGTGAGGCAGCAGCTCGATGCACAGGGTATCATCATCTTCATGACATTTTTTGACAAGACTTTCTTTTCTGGTTCATCACCGTTACTTGCTAGATTTGCTTTTCTTTCAGATTTGCTATTTGTGCTTTTTCTTTAATGCGCACACAGTAGTGTATTGACCAGCCAATAAAGGTGTTATATTCTGTAGCTCTACCCACAATGCCCCTGGGTCCTCAGGCATTGCAGTACCACATCTCCTTGACAGCAGATGTCTGTGAATACATGTGTTGGTGTATGCATCTGTGTGATGTTTATAAAGCAACTCTTGGTGTCATATTGTTGACACGAGTGGGCTGACATGTCTTATTCTGTTTGTTTCTAGATATTAACACCTGTCGAAAAAAAAGAGACAGTTAAATGATCACCCCACTAGCAGAATTAACCACATTCTGTAATAAAAATAACACGTAGAGAGAGTAAATAACTTGTTAAGACACCATCTGCGGTGTTGAGAGTCACCCTGTTTGCTCTCAGTTATAGTCCCCCCTCTCCTTCACCCTCACCCACCCAGATTCTTCTCCACCCCACAACAAGCAGACATTAGACAGACAAGGCAGAGACTCTCCACTCTGCACGTGACCCGCCTGTTTAGTATTCCTGACACGTCTGGCTGAGGGAGCGGCATTAAATTGGGATCAGGCAGATTAGAGTATAATATAGACGACTATTAAAGGCTGCAAATGAGAGCCATGGGTTAGAGCCTGAGCAGGGGCCCAGTCTGCCTCCATGTCAGTGCAGTCCCCAACACTTGCCACGCACATACATACATACACATGCATGTCCACAACAATGACACAATGTGAAATAAAAATGTGAGGAAAAATATGACCTCGTGTAGACAATCGTTATCAAGCAAACAAAGTACCACTAAGTGCTAAAATCTCTTCTATATCCATGTTTTCTATCCAATTTGTGTAGCCTTCATTTATCCAAGGTTTAATGGTCCAGGCAGCCCTTTTAGCGACACCCTCCTCCACACTCACATATTCACACCTGGAAGTGGTTTGGACCAAGGGGGGGAAAAAAGGATAATTCTAATTAGACCTCCTTTATTATAAATTGAAACTTGGGACAAACACAAAGTTGTCTTTTACAGGGCGATACCATGGATGTATTAAAGGTTCAGTGTGTAAGATTTAGTGGCATCTAGCAGTGAGGCTGAGAATGGCCTGTCTATACTACCACTGCACCCCCACCTTTCAAAGAACGTAGGATAGCTACGGTGGCTGTCCCAGGACAAAAGGTGTCATCTTCTGAGACAGCAGAGAGTAGCCAGTCAAGAAATGAGGTTTCTTTAGGTAGATACATAAAGAAATTAGATTTTAGTACATTTTTCAGTAAAACCACACTGAGAAGGGAAACACGTTAATTCTCTCTGTGATTATGTATCCTCGCCAAAACTGCCCGCCAACAATAATATCCGGCCCACGGTCAGATTATGGTGCTTTGATAGAGGCAAAAAAAAAAAATAAATAAAAATACTTTGATAGTGATGCTGAAATAGATTTCAATCATGACAGCAACAGTTGCTCACATAATCACTTCCTCTTTAGTGGTTTTGCCTGCAAAATAAAAGTGCAAGAACGTTTTTTGCTGCATAATTTCGAGAGCTTTTACTTTGAAACATTCTGAATGACATTAAAAGAGCCTGTAGCCTGCACCTCTGAAAGAGCCGTCAGACAATGTGATTCCCCTAAATGTCCTCTTCCTGGAGATACTGGGGACATGAAAAAGTGTCCTTGGGTTCATGGCAGCAGTTCAAATACTGGAACACACACACTGCAGCACATGCTTTATTGTGAGCATGCGAAGCAGTCGCTTTATAAGAGAGGAAAAAATATTTCTACCCAACATGTGATCAAACACACAACCTTCTAGGTGAGAGTCCTGTGCTTTACTGCTGAACACTGTAACAAGTAAGCTCCATATTATGCCTTATACTCTCACCCACTATCTAATGGATGAAAAAACTACTAATACTGTAAAAACATGGCAGCGCAACATGGCAACGTCCATGAAGCTAGAAATGGCTCATTCTAAGGTAATAAAAACATAACGGTTCATTATGTAAGGTCTTTATACACCACTGAAAACAAAGTTATGGATCTTATATTGCATTTCTGTAAGTAGATACTCCTAAATATTACACACTGGACCTTTAAGAGAATAGAGAGGGATAAAGAGGGATAGTCATACCATTTCATTCACTCTTTTTTGAGGGAACTATTAAAATACATGGAGAAGGACACGGGGACAATACACCTGGTTAAGCTTTCTGATGTACCAGGAAATATTGCACTTGGTTACCATGGTTACCTAATGATCTTGAAATAACAGATATGCTAATTAGATCGCTTCCTTGACCGTTGACATTCAGCAGATGGATTTAATAGTAGTTTAGCTTTGCTTTCACTCCACCAACGAACCGCGCCGGAGTCCTCTTGGTACTGGACTGAGATCCTTCTTTTAGCGCAGTCTCATTATGATTGTTTAGTCCGCACCAGAGTTTTATTGGCAGCTTTCACACTAGCCTAAAGAATCTGGAAAAAACACGCCAGAGCTCACTGGTGCCAAGAGAATAAAAAGAGGTTAGGTGTGATGGCACCCTTATTGTGCAATCTCGCATAAAACAAATCACAAAAAACTCTGGTCTAGATGTTTAAAAATGTTAGAAAGGGGCTTTCGTGTAACCCAGAATCAGATTTGGAAATGCTTGAAGCTTTAAATAATATGAAGACACAGTCCTGGATATTTTGTATTTAAAATCCAGAATTACTATATGTCTAGAGAAATTATTATGTCATTGCTTTTTGTTGTTTTAAATGATACATCATCACTAACACATTTGGCTTTATTGCTTGAAAAAGCCTTCATGCGTACCATGTACCTCTAAAGCCACTGGATGTGGAAATAGTTAAATGTGCCACTAGTAAGCAGCTTACAGGGGTTGTATAACATACTGCCCAGAGTCCTTATCATAATTAATTTGACCAGGACATGTGTGGGAGAGAATGGAAGAGGCAAAGTGCAGAAAAGAAGTTGGGCTGGAATAAGAACATGGGGGGAACAGAGATCACCACTATAAAATAAAGCTCTTAGGGGCACAAAGATTCATCTGTGCCAAAGCCTTTTATATTCTGTCAGTCTCCTGTTCAAGTTCTTCTCAGATTTTATTGCTTTGTAGCATTGTGTCACCCCGGCAATTAGGGCAGCAGCTTTCTTCCAAGTGGAAATGCTCAATAGTTTGGCATGTACAACATACAGCAGCATAGTATGGACCATTGCACAGTGTATCGGGGGGATCTTATATGAGGGACATTGCCTATAAAAGGCAGATGGTAACAATGTAGGTGATACTGTGAAGCCTAGCGCTGTCACTGGGCCATGTCCTATCCACTTAAAGATTCTATTTTAATCTCTAGCTGAACCTTGTCCGGATGTTCAACATGTCCTTTGGGGAATGTCATGGAGCTGCCACACTATTAACAGTACAGCGAGGGAGGGCGAAGGGTTTCGGTGGGGACTTCGTATTATGTCTTGAGTTCTATTCACTTGCATTTTTCTATTTAGTCACTCCATTGAGAGTCCATTAATTTGTCCATGTATTAGTTTTGCATGGTCAACTGGACATGCACCCAGTGCACTGTAGCCATAAGGAAGTGGGTAGAAATATGTGGAAAAGGAATCTTTTTATATCAGAGTAGACGTACATTGAATAAAAATGTTATATAATCAAAAAGCTTATAAGAGTATTTTGTAACATAACCAATTCAATTTCTTGCTGAGTGAAAATAAAGTAACACATTCAAGTGTAATGTTAAAAAGAAAAAATAAGTTGCTTGAGATGCAGCTAAAGATCAGAGAATTGTTGTAAAGGAAAGAGCTCTTTCTGATGAACTGATCATCAGACTTGATGGACAGTCCTTTCCTAACATTAATATTTTATCTTTTATCTTCTTTATCCTATCTTACTGTTACTTGTTCTCAAATGTCATAAGTTTGAAATTGACTTTTAACTGGTTTTGCTTTGATCTTGTGAGTATTATTTCAATTTCCAGCTCCAAATTCAGTTTCAACTGCTTGTAAAGGTCTGCCAAAAGACCTGCTGCACCTCACAACTCACAGATATGTGTATTAGAACTTTATATGGATGTATATAGCATGTCTTTTTTTTCCTAGCACACATGCTGAAGCAAGTGAAATTCCGAACAGATTTTTTTTTGTGCTAGCCCCTTAGAATCAATGAGCTCAAGGTTCTGTCAGTAGACCTGACATTTTGCTCCTTCATGCAAAATCACAAAAGCCCCCCCACCACACACACACACACACACACCTTTGGTTGAAGACTGTAGAAAGACTTATTGGAACAGATAGAAAATCACCAACTGAGGTGGTGACAAGTGAGTGACTGCACCAGTAGAATGAACTGCAACACCCCAAATTCCCCAAACTCCTAGGCTACAATGCATCAATTACCCTTTCATGAAACTTTAAAAAATGCAGTGAAATGAGCTCCACTTCTGCCTTGATACAACAACATTTACTACTTATACACATATAATAAAAGACAACATCTATACAAACTGACACACACTGTGCCCCTCTCTCTCTCTCTCTCTCTCTCTCTCTCTCTCTCTCCTCAGACATCCGTTGTTCCCCCTGCTGGCGTTGTTGTTTGAGAAATGTGAGCAGGCCACACAGGGATCTGAATGCATCACGTCAGCCAGCTTTGATGTGGACATTGAAAACTTTGTGCACCAGCAGGAGCGAGAACACAAGCCCTTCTTCAGTGAGGATCCAGAGCTGGATAACTTGGTAAGCCAAGTGCTCTGACATTGCTGCAGTTTTAGTTTGCTAGTTAGTTCAGGGAACCTTCCAATGTCAAACTAAATCAAAAAAATAAAGGTGTGGAAATGCTTGTTTGTCTGTTTACAGTGCCTCCCATCATTACTGCTCCTAATCATTCGCTCCTTCGTCATGTAATCTTTTCCATCCTCTCCCTGAACTTCCTCTTGCTCAACCGCTAGCAGTAATTGCAAATTAAGACAAGGAGGATGCTGATCATGTTCACTGAGAAAAGAGGGGGAGGAGTTGAAGCCGTACAGACACAAAGACAGAGACAAGAATTAAAAAGTGCTCTCTTACCATTACAGTACTTGGAACACCAGGCAGACAAGTGCTGAACAGTCAATTAACCCTGCATCTGTGTGTTTTATGAGGCACTGGGTGCGGGCATCCCTCCCAGAGGGCACTAACTCTTCCACAGGGCAGTAATGTTACACTGGGTCTGACTGGCTGCGATTGGCAAAGAGTTACTGGTCCCTTGATTAAGTGAGCGCAGTTTAATTAGCTGATTTATCTCCTCCTTGGCCAAGCACTTTTCTGTCCATTCTGTTGACCTTGAGTGGTGACTTTGAGGGAGTGCACTAGAGTGTGCCGCACAGAGAGGAGGAAAGCCAGGCTGTTGATGGTCAGATTACTGCTAAAGAGAAGACAACACAATTATATGGATACTGCACATTTACTCAATTCCAGTTTAAAAAACACTAAAAACAAAACCCCACGATTCTAACTTTTTTCATAGTTTCCAACAAAATTCTAAATATATTCAAGTTTCGTTTTTTTTCTGTTGTATTTGCCCTTTCAAATAGCTTTAGAGAAATAAACTTTAAGGTGTTTTCCAGCATCACAAATCAAATTAAATGGTCTGAGATTCTCCATATTGTACATCAGTGTCTTCAACCTCCAATATGACAGAATGAATGAATAAAATGAATGAATTAATAGTTTCAGGGCATCTATCTGTAAAACCCTGCCTCATTAGCCTAAAGAAACTACTACATGGGCTCCTTTAGGCCATTCTTAATGTCTCATGATGGTCTGAATGCTTCCCAGGAACACTGTTGAAAATACTGAAACACAAAACTCAGTAATTTGCATGACAACAAATAAACTAAAACTAATCAGCACAATATATTAGTATTTCTAATCAGTATTAAGCTTTGTACAGGTTTTTACTACTGGAAGATTAGTCTTTAATAATACCCTAAAGTGTTTTTTCTCGTTTTACTTTTTTGCTGGTTAATTGTAAATGAGTGACTTGTCATTGCTTTGTTGTTGAGTTTTGTTACTGTGAGTTGTTTGTTACTGTGAATGGAACATGCCAGTCTCTTCAAGTCCCCCTTTAAAACAGATTCCATTCTCTGACAAAGGTTTTGAAAGATGAAACCATACATGTTGTTCATGTTGTTGGCTATAAGGATAAGTAAATTTGATGGGTTTGAACAAGATTTTTCTGGTGAAGCTAATTAGAAGAAGCGTGTCCGACAACACGAAAATAGACATAACATTTGCTCAACCTTAATATCATGAAAATACGCTATTTTATATGTTGTGACCCACAAAGCCAACCAAACAGACAGACAGTGGAAACGTTTCCTTCTCAGCATTGCATATTACAGGCTCAATCTGTTGATTTCTGGCTTTGGGAGAGTGAAGGATGCTTCCATCCGATCACAGAGCTCATGTATGCAATCTATATATAGTATCTTTGGAACAAACATCAAAATTGAATGTCACTCCTGTCTCATCAATAAAATAAATCGCTGCATGTCACTTTCTTTCATCAAATATCACCCTTTAAAATCCGCCTGTAAACACCACATCTCACTTGTTCCACATCTAGTGTCCTGCAGTCCAGTTTTTGAGTCTTCCCATTTTAAAAAGAAAAACCTGCGTTACAAACTGGAGGTTTTGGGTTTGAAAGAAGTGGGCAAAGTGACGGACCGACCGACTTGCCAACATTGCTATACCTAGCCACTGTGTTTGGCTAAACAGTCAGGATAGGTCTCTGCTAGGATATCTTTGTCCCTGCTTTTGACCATTCTTTGGACTGATATAATAGATCAGTGGAGTGTTCAAAGTAGCCAACCTTTCATCTAAACTGCCAGAATGTCAACATTTCACTTTGTCCAGTACGTAGGCGGATGACCAAATACCTACAAATCTAATTCCCATCAGTCTCAGATGTACGTTGTGTAGCAAATGTTGCAACATGCTACAACAACTAAACTACAGTGATTAACATTGTAAACATTATCTGCTACTGTAATCATCAAAATGTGTGTCAATGTGAGCATTTAGTTTAGCTCAAAGCAGCGCTATGCCTAAGGACAGCCTTGCAAAGTCTTTAGCATGGCTGTCAAATGCCATTCTTGTTTCGTTTAAAATGTACCAAATAGTATATAAGCTATGCTATTTAACAGGTCTTTCCCTCTAAAAATCCATGATCCTCTTGAAGTCCAGCACCTCAATAACATCGTTATTAATGCGAACATTAAAATGAAAACCAACTAATAAAGGGATTCCATTTGGTGGAATGTTGTGACAGTGATCTGTTTATGGTTTATCTCTGTTTCCTTCAGATGGTAAAGGCCATTCAGGTGTTGCGAATCCACCTATTGGAGTTAGAGAAGGTCAATGAGCTCTGTAAAGACTTCTGCAACCGTTACATCACCTGCCTCAAGACCAAGATGCACAGCGACAACCTCCTCCGTAACGACCTCGGAGGACCCTATTCTCCGTCACACACCAGTCTCAACATGCAGCAGGTCTGTAGATCTTACACTTCCTTGATGGTAGCCATTCCCAAGATACACCTTGTAATTTGTCACCAGGTACATTTTCATGTTGGGAGTTTTTCAGTCGCAAACAGTAGAGCTACCTCTTTGCTTACTAGTGTCTCTCTGTGATCCCCCAGGAACTAATTCAGACCTCCTCTCCATCCATGACCTCTGTCTCCAGCTCTGTTAACTCTTCAGGGATTGTGGTGCCTGCCGGGGGTCTGCAACAGGGCAATGTCGCCATGACTACCATCAACTCTCAAGTGGTATCGGGTAAGCATTTGATTACACACACAGACATTAATACGCTTTATAAAAGATATACACACACAATATACTTGTTGGCTTGCATTAGTTTTCTAGTGCAATGTTACATTTAAAAGTTGGGGATAAGGAATATTTGAGAAATTTCTGTGACTTACTCCTCACACTAAAATTTTCTACGTGTGATATCCATGAGACTTTAATATACAAAACTTATTGGAAATTGTATAGATCAGTGCCAGTACCACTGTCATTGAAAAACAGAATTTGAAATTAACAGTCTGAAATTAAGTGATAGATTTCACAAAACATTTTACAACTTAACCTTAGTCTAAATTGAACATTTTTATTGGCCATCTTTCACCCTTACTGTCCAGTCACATCACAATGGAGTCATAAAAGAACAGTTCGTGCAACTTGAGAGTGATAGTCTTCTGTTTTAAAATAAAGTGACAATGGTTCAATCATGCGTTCTCCTTAGCCAAAATGAAATAATTTTCATTTTCTGAGAAAGTATTCCATGCTTGTGTCTCTTCAAATTTAGACAACTGCAATTCCCTTTATTTAGGACTAAGCCATAAGAGAGCGTAGTTGACTGCTCCAGCTTATCCAAAATGTTGCTGTCCGGCTATTATTATTATCTGATTTTTATGTTTAATCTAAATTTATTCTGTTTAAATATTTTTATCATTTTTATTATGTTTATTTATTAATCTTTTTCTCCTCTGTCAAGTTGCCTTATTATTTTGGCAAATTTAACAACTTTTCTCTGTTTTACTTAGTTGTTTTTATTGTAAAGCACTTTTTATTTGCATTTAGACAGGTGCCATATAAAGAAGGGCACACATTTTGAGTATTTTCATTTCACTTTCTACTTCTATTCAACCATATATTAGAGGGAAATAATGCACTTTTTACTTCACTACGTATATCTGACTGCTTTATTAATTACTTTATAACAAATTATGTTTTGTTATAAATTTAACCCTACCGTTTATACAGCTGAAATTGATTGTTTGATTGAAACCAAACAATAGTAAAAACCAGCACATTTATACATATCGAAATTAATCTAGTTGCAGTCCGATACAAAATAGTTCAAAACGAGTTCCACCTAAATCAACAGTAACATTTAAAATCCTGCTTTTACATTAATGCACAAGTAATATATAATGATAGAATATAATAGTGTAACAGTCATAGGGGACTTTCTTTCTGCATCAAGTGCTTTTACTTTTAATACTTTAAGTACATTTTCCTTATTATACTGACATACTATAGTAACATTTTCAAAACAGTACTTTTACTTGTCAGAGTATTTTTACAGTGTGATATTAGTATTTTTACTTAAGTAAAAGATCTGAATACTTTGTCCACCGCTGAATATAAATAGAGCTTATTATTATTATTATTATTAACAATAAGATGACATTTTACAATCAAAATCCTCCTGTCTAAACAGATTATAACAAGCTCTTGTAAATGTAAATCCAAACGCACAGTTCACAGCCTACACACCAGTCTAAAATGAATTGTAAGATTCAAATGATAGTATAATACTGCTATCTTTCAATACACATCTGTAGTGACTGAGTTGTGTGTAAATGTATATCAGAGAGCCATGATGGTATACTTCACAGGGTGCTTGGCTGATAAGTTCTCATAATGTCATGGCTGTACAGTGAAATGTTAATCCTGCCCTCTGGAAATCCCTTTTAACCTCAAACAAATCAATGTCTCTGCCTTTGATCACTACACATTGAAGAGCTCAAACAGACTGTGATGAGAGTGTCTTGATCAAGACTAATTAAGCCAGCAGCAAAAACACACTCCCCTCCTCTTTCTTTCTGGGTTAAAGGACATTGATGCACCTTGAATTTAATCATTTCATCTCTTGTTTGCCATGTTTTTATTTGCGGGGCTGAAAAGAAGTTAATAAGCCTCTGGTGGTAGTGCGGCATGTGTCTGCCAGTAGCTGCTGAAGCCACTTGATACTCATAACGGCAAATTATCCCCTCAGGTGGGACCCTGTACCAGCCGGTTGCTATGGTGACATCGCAAGGGCAAGTGTTAACGCAGGCGCTGCCGCCGGGAACCATCCAAATCCAGAACTCACAGGTAAAGCCGTCCGATGATGCTTTGGCCGACGCATTTGCTCCCTGCCTCTGCCCCCAATTTGTTATTATTAAACGGGCCTCTTTACATCTTACAGAAATCCCCCATGGTGCCTTTTCATAGTCTCTGTTTAAACACCCCCCCTCGTTGACAGACAAAATAGAAATTAGAGTGCTTAAATGATAGTCATGTTTACTGCAGATGAAAGTCATGTAAGGACATAAACATAAAGATAGGGTAGGCAGTTTATTTCGGAAACCGTTTTTGTTAAATTTCTTAAAATTCTCTTTAGATCCTGACAGCAATCAATAAATCAAATGCTCTGACATGTATCTGAGGCTGTCACAGGACTGCAATAAGCACAGCCAATCATTTCATTTGGTCCTGGCTTACCTGCTTGTCTACCTACTTATCTGGACAGACTCTGCACATGAACTCATTGCGCATGAACATTTGGGGAAATGGCTTTGGAGGGAGGCCTGAAGGGAGGGGGCGGGATTTGTTTGGTTGGATACTTTTAAAGTCTAGCTGTCTCTTGCTAATTTCTACTATGTTTGCTACCCCAGCTTTAAGACGAACATCATTTATGCTGTAGACATCATTCTTGCAGTAAAACTCAAATAATACATAGTATTGTCTTGGTCTTTGTAAAGTGCTTTGTAAAAGCATTATGAAATACTTATGACCAGAAAGTATTTTGGAGCAGTCAGACCCACATGAATGGAAGTGTTGTGGTTTTAATATTTTCTTTTTTTCCCAGCTCAAAAGGCTTGTGCGGTTGTTTTTAGGATATTTGGGACACTCACTGTATCCTTTGTCTTTGAGTGTTAAACTGTTGTGGAGATGAATGCGCCTCATACCCATTCCTAGCAATCAATTACACATTTTGCTGAAAACTACATCATACAAAAGAAGGGATTGTAACAGTTATAGTCAACTCCAGAAACGACACCCACAGAGCATCTCTAGTTTCAAAGAGTATGGATTCAAACAATAGTAATGAAAAGGGACAAAATATCATAGATCAGTGCTGTCAACAGCTTATTATAGCTGGTCAGAGTAAATGTGTGTTAGTTAGCTGAGCTGCATGGTTAAAGGCCAAAAGCAATGTTATTGACAACTAAGAGCTACATCTGCTTCAGAGCAACACACGCATTCATCTCCACAGCTATAGTAGTGACCCACTATTACTATTATACTTACCTCATATGTTAGTTAAAAAATACTTCTCTGTTTATCTCTGAATGATGACAGTTGCTTACTAGCTCCCCCCTTAACATGCCATCACAGTTGAACATAAACTCTATCCATAACATATTAAGAAGTTTTGAAATAGGACATTCTGTAACTTGCGTGTGATGCAGTGTTTGTTGCCTTGGTGTTTTTCAGACAAGTGGTAAGCTATCAGAAAGCCATTTCTGCTTCTCGAAAGTATAAGTGAAAGAAGCACAAGGAATCTGACCTGGATAATTACTGCTGACTCATTAAAAGACTGAAACACCAGACTGAGGGCAAATGTAGAGCAGACAAAATATTCTATGTGAAAGTAAACATAAAAACATACAAGACCTCCATTTCCAAGCAAAAGGTCTGTCATCTGCAGTAGCATTGGCAACGTAGTTACTATAGTTAGTGTCACTGATGTAAAAAGTTCTGAAACAAACATGAAGTACAACTCATTGTCAGTTGTGCATGTAAGATGGCCTCATTATGTGGTATGAATGTGTATGTACACTTTAGCAGGGTCTATAGTGTAAAGTTGAAAGGAGACCTGTTATGCTCATTTCCAGCTCTTTATTTTTATTCCAGGATTCCACTAGAGTAGTTTTGCATGAGTCACTTATCTAATGCTGGCCCTTTATGCAGCCTCTCAGGTCATCCTCATTCTGAAACAAGCTATTTTATCTCCTGTCTCTGTAAGGCCCCCCCCCCTAAAAGTCCACTTCTGATTGGCCAACTTCCCGGAAGCCTGCCGAGCGGCTTGTGAGCTGCAGTAACCAAGCCACCAGGAAGCGTGCTGTTTTTTGAAGCCATAGTGGCCAAACCATGGAATTATGGAAAAATATTCCCCATAGACTTACATTGTGAAAGGAGCGGCCGTAAAACATTGGATACGTTTATTTTAAGTGTCACAGCCCTCCCAGAAGTATTCATTTCACTATCAGATCATTTCACTAATCATTCTGTCCAGTAACAGTTGGAAAGTCTAGAAGCCACCCGATTAAATAATTTTATCCCCATTGAAGTTAGTGTAGGCTAGACCAGAAGTTAACCGTCTCAGCAGCGGAAGTCTCTGTTGCACTTGCTCCAGGAGGTGGGGGTTAGAGGAAATGCTAGTGTGTTTACTCCTGTGGGGCGGCACAAGCTATGCGGAAGATCAGGGGAATTTTATACCTGGAGGTCGAACTTTTGTGGCTTTACGCGCCACTGAGCAGCTGTCATAGGAATGAACGGAGCACCAACGCTGTATCCAGTTCTCTTTATACATCCATGGTCATGTGATGTGCATTTTTCAGATAGACTTACTATGTGAAAGAAGCATCTGTAAAACAGTGGATGCATTTTTTTGAGTGACAAAGCCTCTGTGAAATGACACGTTTTGCTGTAAGAATTGGATTGGATTCAGTCTGATAAGATTTGGAAAGTCTAGAAGAGCAGCATATTTTAAATCATATGATTCCCATTTAAGTTAGCGGCGGGTTAGACAGGAAGTTAGCCGGCTCAGCTACCGTAAGTCTCCGGTGCGCTTGCTCTGCGGGCCACCACCATGGCCGAGGGAGGCAGGGTTAAGAGAAATGCTAGCGTGCTTGCTCCAGTTGAGCTGCATGAGCTATACGGAAGATCTGGGTAATTTTATACCCAGAAGTAAAAAAGAAGAAAAAACTATTGGAAATCTGTTATTCAGAGCAGTTTGAAGCCTGACACAGGGATTACTTTTACATGCGTTTTCCTTATTATTTGAAATGTTACAATATTAGAAACCTAAGACATTGTTAACATCATATATATGACAGAAAATAAGGGAAAGTACAATAGGTTCCCTTTAATGTGTGTGTTGTTGTTTTGTTTATATAAGAAATGACGTTTCTATTGAGCCACAAGCCAGATTGACATTGCAATATTGAAATATGCAACAGAAGACAATGAAATTGTTGAAAGTAATTTTCCTTTTACATTTTAGTATGCACTTTGAAAATTTGTTTATAACTTGTTTTTGAGCCATAAAACTTTAATCCAAGTGGATCCAAGAATTCAGAATTACAGATGAAATTTAGTTTGAATTTAAATTATATTTTAATTCCAACTACATACATTTTGATTCAGTTTTATAATTACTGCCTTTTTCTCTCTTTTTTTTAGACATTTCAAACATGCATGACTCAGAAATGCACCAGGCTAAGTAGATTTAACATATCACTGGTGAATCCCGTCTTTGTCTGGCTTTGACAGTCTCAACACTTGCCTATAGATATAAATAAAAAATGGGAGCAGGGGAGTTTAAACAAAGCTTGATGTGCAGCAGCAGTGGCCTGAAGAGCGGCTCAGTTTCAGGCAGGTAATTCTGTGCTTGACAGTCAGAAGAGGCCTCAGTGAATAGTCGCGACCCTGCTGAGCCCGAGTGCTACATGTGGGCTGGGAATTGAACACAGCCCCGTCGCTACTTTGCAGACAAGCCCAGAGTAATCACACGCCGGAGCTTGGTGCCGCCAATTAATTCAACCTTGCTTTCCCCCGGAACACACACGCTCCCAGGGCTGAGGGGGGATAAGAGGAGGGTTATCCACGTGACACCCAGCTGCAACTGTAATGAGTCTTGTTTTGTGTGGGGGATCTGAGTGTGTGTGAATGTGTATTTATGGACATTGTGTGTGTTTGTGTGTTATTTGTCTTCAAGACAGCCAGGATTCTTACCACCACTATGCTCTGCATGAAATTAATCATTTTATATTCTTTGCGGACTTGTGTTTTTTTACTTATTCATGCATTTTGTCCTGCATGCTTATGCATATGACATTTTCATATGCATGCTCCCCTCTGAAGTATTTTAGCCTTCACTAACGGGCACTTCATTCAGAAAAATCATTTTTTAAAAACTCAAAAGTCACTGCTACTGCTTGAAACAATGATAATGACAGATTAAAAGGATTTGTCTCGTATTATATATTACATATTTATGAAATGCGGTCAATAAAAAACTGTGTGCAATGTGATTCAGTGCATGTGTACAATATATATATCTTTATATAGTAGGCCTATATTTTTTATTTTTCAGAATATGGAGTATAGCTACTGTTTGAGGTCTTATTGTGTTTTGTATTATCTGCCTCAGAGCACACACATTCATCTCCACAATGAAATAAACACAATCATACTATACTATGTTGTAAAGGAGCACATTGCATTAAAAAACTTTTATTTAAAGCTCAGTCATTTCTTAAAACAGCTGGCCACTGTGGTTTTTAGCAAATGTTACTCAAACATGAGGAATTAGTTCATGTGCCGGGGACTATTATCAGTGGTGGATTAATCCTCGTATAGATAATTTCATTGTTGGTTTGAGTCTTATGGAACCAGAACATCAACCAGACTTCTCCTGGATCCTTACCCTTACCTAAGATGCTCTTTTAACTAGAACATCCAAACCATTTACTAACCTTAACCTCCACAGCAACCACAGAAACAATCTGAACATGGCGGTCAAAAAACCCTCGATGACCATCACAATCCGAAATGTTCTCACAATTTATAGTGCAAATAGTGGACTCTCAAGAGTCAGTCCTCACAAGTACAGCTTAGCTAGACCCAACACATGGGCTCACACACTTACACACACATCCATATGGACACCGCAGCCTGTCAAAGACTGTCAATACTCCGACAGCATCTCGTCCTTCAGCACTCGTACTCCAAACAATAACATCTGAATAATGATTTCTCACTGAACACAAAGGCAGGCTTAGATCAACACAAATGAAAAACTAAGCCAAACACAGACACACTTTATACCAGCTCCTCGCTAACTTAGCACCAAACTGTGAAATCCAAACTTTTGGCCGAATGCTTGCCTGACCCTCCGCTCTTTAAACTCGCCGTCGAAGCACCAAACAGACTACTGACCCTCTTGTGTTTCCACATAGTCGAGGGTGCTGCTTTTTTTAGATTTTAAGTATCATTACTCAAATTCAGTTACCATGGTGACACTTGAGGAGGTGTTTCTGCCCTTGCCATTGAAAAAGAAAAATAAAAAAAACGATAGGTAATTGGTAGTCTCCCTTTGTTTCCGTGGCAACAATAACTAAGCCCTACCATCTGCTCCTTCTTTCCTTTTCTTTTCTTCCTTTCTCGTCCCTTCTTGGTGTTTATTGTAAAGGTAAACGTGGACCTGTCGTCCCTGTTGGACAGTGAAGACAAGAAGTCCAAGAATAAGAGGGGGGTCTTGCCCAAACATGCCACCAACATCATGCGCTCCTGGCTCTTTCAGCATCTCATGGTGAGGCAGAGAAGGACGCTTGTGAGTGTGTGTTACGAGTGTGTGTACATTCATCTGAAATGGTCATCTGTTGGCCTTGTCACGATGTTACCTTTGGATGCAGAGACAAAAAGGATGATGCATGGTATGTGTATGAGATTGGAGAATAAACTACTTGAAGGGGGACGTTTACTGATATCATAGAGTAGATGTTTCATTTGTTGGTTTTAACATGGGAAAATCAATATTAAGTCAAACGAAGTATATCAGAGGACAATGTATGAAAACTGAGCTGGTGCTTCTTCCTTCTTTCAGCACCCGTACCCAACAGAAGACGAGAAAAGGCAGATTGCAGCACAAACAAATCTAACCCTTTTGCAAGTGAACAACTGGTAAGATACTGTCCTGGTGTACACATGTAGACAGAAAGACACTGCTTCATATTATTGTGGTGAAAATATGACTGGGGGCTTTGCTTAAATAAACTGGAGCTCCTCAGCACATTTCTGGCACTGAGGCGCCATCTCCTGGACATATCTGTCAAGTACACATGAGACCATTTGTGTCTTCCTGTTGTCATACATTCACTCTTCCTTTATTGTTTTGTTCTCATGGAAAGGACTTCTTGGGATGAATAAAGATATTTGAGCAGAATTTGCTACTTTCTATTCAATCCATTGATGGATCAAGATTAAATGAAATTGGTTGCAAAATTGTTTTATATTTCTTATTATTTATATTTCTCTTGTAAATGTCTGTATTCACTAGGGCTAAATATTGTATTTTATAAAAACAATTTTAAAATGATGACGGTAAGGCTGTTTTGTATACTTGTTATCAATGGCGATATAAGTCACATAACTAATCAATGGAATCTATAAGAAAACCAGAAACAACACTCAGACACCACTCTGACATAGGCAAGATATCCAAATATAATATTACACAGATTTTACTTTTCTAAAAGTATGGGTATCTTGAGGGGATGTCTATCTTATATCAATGCCCCCCCAACACAAAGGTCTCTCTTTCTCACAGGTTCATCAATGCTCGCCGGCGTATCCTCCAGCCCATGTTGGATGCCAGTAATCCAGACCCAGCTCCGAAAGCAAAGAAGATGAAGTCCCAGCACCGTCCAACACAGCGCTTCTGGCCCGACTCCATTGTGGCTGGAGTTCTGCAGACGCACAGATCTCAAACAGGAAACAACTCAGACAGTATGCTGACACTATAAAATATACAAACACACCCCGAGCTTTTTACAAAGTTCCTAAATTGTGCATGTATTTTAAACACAGAAGTAAAACTTTGTAACTCTTTTATTTTTGTGAGAAGTTGTGAAGTCACATTCAAATTCTTCAACATTTTAAAGGTGGATCTGAATGTGAATTTAAACTACGCAGAGTTTTTCCTGTCAAGGCCCATTTTAGCCCTGATGTCTGTCCCAATAATTGGGATATTTTTCCACCTAGTTTTCATTCTGAAGTTAATTTATACCTTGGCTGCCTGAAAGCCAATTTTGATAAATACCGCCTAGGTACACAGGTGAATGTAGAAATCTGACTGACTATAGGCCCTTTTGTTGGAATGGATTCGGTCTGTTATTGGCTTTATAATTGCGTGCCAGCTCCTAACCCCTCCTGTGTTTCCCTGCCTCCCCTCAGACCCACTGAGCATGGACAGCCTCCATTCACTGTCGTCAGACTCAGCCACCCTGGCCATGCAGCAAGCCATGCTGGGAGCAGACGACTCCATGGACGGCACCGAGGAGGAGGACGAAGAGGAAGAGGAGGAGGAAGAGGAGGAAGGGATGGAGGAGGAAGAAGAGGAGGAGGAGGGAGAGGAAGACAACGACAGGGGGAGGCAAATGTCCAGTGTAGGAGGAGGAAGGAGAGATCTGAGCATGGAGCACAGAGAGGAACTGGAGTAGCCAAATAGAGGAAAAGACTAAATGAACTTTGACCTCAGTTGTCGCCTCAATACGGCCTCATACAAACTCAACTAGGACGACTCTAATGCTAAGTGACTCTTTTAGAGCATTTAAGGGCATATTAAGTTTTCTCCAAACTCATCAGAGACTCTTCTGCAGAGCCACCATGGAGTCTAATCAGACACAATGATCATCATGATAATGATTTTAGAGGACGGATATTAGTTTGATGATGAATATGTGTTGTTACATTAATATACTATGTTCTCATGCAATGAGCTCTCGAAACATTTGGATAGTAGCACATTTTTTACTCTATAACTATCTTGTTATTTGTGGAAAGAAATGGCACAGAAACTACAAGGCTGAAAAGAGTAATGGCAGTTTTAAATTGAGGACATTCTTCCCATTTTAGAGCAACAATTAAATAAGTTGATGATTACGTTTGGTGCTTTCAGAGAGCCATGACATTTTGAATTCAGGTTGCAGTGAACTGAAAAAGAACATACTGGACAGGAGAATTAGGAGTCTTGAGTGGTTGCACATGCATCAAAAAAATCACAATGCATAGTGATCATTTTTGAATGTATGTGTAAAACATCTAATTTGGCCAAATATTATGGAACCATGAAACGAGTTACAAAAAGGGCTGCGGCTTTTTTTAACTGTTCATTTCATATGACTGAAAGTAGTCTCAATTTGCAACTGACAGTCTACGCTTTAACTTCACAGTTAATGTGTCATTTCGCTTCCTAAAATAAGGGTGAAAAGAAAGGAGAAAAAAAGGTGTAACCCTGTCCAAATAGCTGCAGAAGTGACTGTATATGTTGGCTTCCACTGCTGGGACATCATTCACGCCTTTTAAATGACTCATAGGTTCTCAGGTCGAACAACACTCTCATTCGGCATGTCTCTTCCTCATGAGTGAAACACTTGACTCATTGCTGCAGCAAACCTTTTCAAGCATGACTTTTAAAACAATCTTAGTTTTTTTTTTATTATTATCCCATGCGCAAAAAAAAACCTGTAGTAAACTGGTGTATACTGACTGCACATATACATAGTATGTATATTGGATTTTTCATATGTTTGCATTCTGGTGTTGAAGGTTTGCATATTTATTCTATTTTTTGTGAGGCCTCAGAGGGTAGCTCATGGAACATGACAATGACAGTTGCTTATGCATTTACTATAGGTTTTGCAGACTTTCTGAATAAGCCTATTGTATTAGCCGGTGGCCATGCACATACTTGACTTCAATCATCAACTCTTGCTTGTGTATTTTTGTGACCTTGGGTGACTGCTAGTCTCTAAAAACTGTCTCACCCACATCTCAACATTGAGAGAAATCATACAGAGACAACAAATGACTTTGGAGTCCCCACCTGACAGAGCCAATGTCATTTACTGACAAACTTTTTCAAGGAAGAAGACAATTTTGAGAAAAATGAAAACGAGAAAGTGAAAAAAAATCTCAGTAGTGACGTCTCTTTAAATTTTATGTGAAGGATTTTGAAGAAACTGTGAAACAATTTCAGCTCTCTGTTTTGTGCTAAGCCACACAAATAGAGTTGCTCGTTTCTAATGTGAAGATGTCTAGAAAAAGAAAAACCATGTTATATTGAATGTTCTGATTGTTCATTGTGAAGTATGTTGCTCATTAATATTCTTTTCTCGATTGCTTTTTTAAATGGATCTTCCAGAGCAAGTGACAGACAATAGGGAATATTTCTATTCATTTGTACTCTTTGTTGTCATAATCTATTGTGTTTCAATAGACCAATTTTAATAATTAAAACATGTAAAGGTACTGATTTTGACTTTGTGATGTGACAGTTCTGAATATGTTCCAGGGCCACAGAGTCCAAAACAATCAGTTTTCAGTTTGATTAATGAGAATATTTAAAGCAACATTATGTAAGTGTTGTTTTTTTGTGTGATTTGGTGCCCCTACTGTTTCAGAGTGCCCTAAAGAAGAACAGCTGTACACGTGCATTTGTTATGATTAGAACTATCGTTACGTTATCAAGAACTAGCAAGTGGACAACTTTGCTAACACAGCCAAACATTAAGCAAGCACGACAACACAAGACATAGCAACATTGCTGACTAGTCCAACAGAAGGAAGGACAGCTCTGTGTCTGTCCTGCAGCCTTTTATTTCACAAAACTCTTGCCAACGATCCAGTAGTCTCTTGCTTGGTCACTCTCTTTTTCTCTTCTTAGTTTCCTGTGTCAGCGTCCTCTTCGGTCTCTTTGCCACCAGCAGCAGCATAATGTTGCTTGGAATTTGGGTGGCAAGCTGCCAACGAAGTTAGACACCAACCGACGCAAGAGCACTTACAGAAACGTTAACAATGAACGAGTGTGTTATCGAATAAGTTTGCTAACATCAACTTGAGAAATATAGCTAGCGGCTAAACCTCTGTCTGTGAAATCTGTGGCTGACTTTGCTCGAGTCGACAACTTTGCTAAAAAAGGAGCAAGAGCAACAACACAAGACACAGCGGGCCAGCTAATAAGTTATTACTGACTAGTGCAACAGAAAGAAAGCCAGCTCGGGATCTGTCCTGCATCCTTTCAGCTCTTTTACCTCACGCCAACAAGTAAAAGGCAGTCTGATATTTACTCTTCATTCTGTCTTTTTCTCTTCCTCCCTTCCTGGGATAACGTCTTCTTCAGACTCTTCGCAGCGTCTGCTATGGTATCCATACTGACAATAGCTTCTTCCAAAGAACTGACATTCTACATTCTATAGTATTTGCTTGCTGAACAGTTTTGTTGGTGTGATGTGGTGCCGTAAAGCATTATGCCATTCTTGCGAGAGTTTACTTTTGCATTTCATTGTTACATTGTGCCGTAGAAGGCGCTCCAGACCGGAGTGGCAATGACAGAGATGCCTTTCTCTGTATTACAAGCCATCAAACCATCAAATCATTTTGAAGCTGTCATTTTAACATAAAATACTACATAATGTTGCTTTAAAAATGAAAAGCACCAAACAAACAAACCAAAAAATCACTAGACAATTACCATGATCATTTCCCCTCACCAAAGCCAGGATCACAATAGAGCACGGCTTGTGTGTGTGACACTTCCGAACCCCCTCAGGCTCTGCTTTATTGTAACACATTTAGTAGTCTAAATATTGGTTTATCTTCCCTCATTTTCCTGTCACATAGATATGTTGTCTCCCACCTACTGGTTACTGCTCTAGCCTGTGATTTAACTTTAGAAGACGCCCACCCACATGCTCTTCCATCTTCCTACCATAAAGGAACCCAAAAGAGCGCTCGACCAGAGGCTTTCAACTTCTGAAATGTGGTAATCACTCCTGTGAGTTTGCTGCACATGCTACATTAAATTGTTTTTACACGGCTTGTGCGCTTATGTATAATCCTTGCTTTGTTTTCTTTCCCCCTAAAGTTCAATCTTTAATTGCGGCAACCCTTATTAAATATCTGTTATTGCCTATCTCTGCTACTTTTCTACTCCTTCAGCCACATTTCATGGGAGGAATTTAAATTGCAGTGGCAATGCTGGGCTTCAAAAGAATAATGTGTTTTCGGGGTAGGCAACATGTGATGATGACGTGGGAGGATGTGATCTAACTGTGTGAGAATATTGGGTATCACACCATTTCTTCTATAGTTATTTCACACAGGACTTTCAGTACAGCAGGTCAGGGGGGTCACATTGTACCCTTAACACTGCAGTAATCAATACTTTTTTTATTAACAAGGGATGGAATTACTACTTGAAAGGAGTATGTGGCAAACAGAATCACCACCTGACTCGGCAGACACTCAGCTTTAGCGAGCATTTTAGCATCTTTCAGCTCATTGTTTTGATTTTACCTAATGCAACGTTACTTTTTTTGAGTCACTGTCTCATGTCCAAACAGCAGACAGACAGAGATACTTCTGAACATTGTGGAGCATTTCTGTCAGGAGTTGGTGGAAAGCAAAAACAGAGCTAAAAGAGAGTGTATATTGGACTTATATTCTTTTGGAGGACCTAAACACAACTCCAAATGAATGCTAATGTTGCTGCGTCAGATGGAAACACATTAGTAATCATAATTTAAAAGGGGATAATATGTAAATGTTGTGTTTACATCTTGTTTCTGCCGCTGCACCTGATTTGTCAGACACACACTGAACAACTATGATTGTGGATTTTGTCCCCCATCCATTATATTTTGGTCAAGTTAAAAAGGAATCACCAGCCAGTTTGGACAGCAATCAAGAACTGTTTTAATGTACATATGAATCCATGACTACTGTTTTCAAAAAGATTTGAAATAATGTGAACCTTTTCAATAAATTACTAATGCTGTTTTCTGGTGAAAACAGTTTTGTTTGTAGAGACCCAATTCAACACACCATCTGTATTGCTGATCTCCACTTCTCTGTCTCAATCCAATGACATACTGTGCCTCTCCTTGATTTATAGCCCAAAATATAATACAGATAAATATAACACAGATCCCATAAAGTGGCATTGTTTTTAGTTTCATTTGTGTTTCATGTTTTCAGATTCAGGAACCCCACAATCTTCCCATCCATAGATGTCCTCTATGTCTAATCCACTTAATAAAATAGAATTTTTACACAGAGTTGGTTTTTCCCTTGAACATATGTGCTGCAAAGCTCTGACACCGGACTATCCCTGTTTTATGGTACAGTATTTTAGCTAGCAGATGCTCTGAGCCTGAAGTGCAGTAAGTAAAAATAGTCTCAGAATGACAGAGGCTGAAAAAGCCACTGGCGATGGTTCACTCGTTTGAAGTGGGCCACAACCACTGTGCCTCACAGTGTGGACAGACCAGAGAAACACACACACAATTGCATGGCCCAGTACTGGGTACAGGAGGTCTGCTGCAGTCAGTGCCATCTGGGCGCCTACATGCTCTCAGATGTCCTCTCTGTAATTAGAGCCAGACCCGGCTCGGCCTGGTCCGGCCCAGTTCCAACCTCCCATTTACAGAGGCCCTCCCTGAATACTTAAGGAGCTTTCCAACACCGTGCAGGCCTTGAGAAGCTCGGCTCTGCTAACAAATTTTCCAACAGTATTACCAAAGAAAGCTGGAAGACTTAAGGTAAGTTATAGCTTTGATTTTACATTGAAGACATTTCCTAGGAATTGTAATAATTGCATTTCTAATTTCTCCTAATTGGAAAAGCAATCCACTGTTGATAAATAGGCATTTCTGATGTATTATATGCAGTGAAGAATGACAGAGAAGATAAGAGAGAACAGGGCAAGTAGTGACGTGAGACAAAGGTCATGAGTCTGATTTGTACTTACAGCACTTCCTTTCCTACTTGACTACGTCAAAAAAAAAAAAAAAGACTATTTCTTATCACTGGGTAGGTGTTCAAAATGTCCATCGCCCAGGCGGCGGCCAAGGCCATGCTATCTGATGCCCTGCTGCAGGACAACTCCGGGATAAACCGGATCAACCACCTGGAGCTGGAGCTTCCTCTGGACAAGGTCATCAAGTATGTGTCTGTCGGCCTTCCCCTCATGCTGGTGTGCATGGCCTTCGCCCGTGAGATCTCCCTGGGTGAGCAGCTAATTTCCGACCCCTTTTCAAAACTATGGAACATGGAACTATGGAACTAGGACATTTGTTTTGTATTCCACTTGCCATTGCCCCTAATTATACCCTTTATTCACGAGTGCTTATTTTTATTCAGTGGCTTTGTGGTCTTCAACTGCACATGTACTGTTTGTCCTTGAATTTCTGTTTTTACTCATTTACTCGCTAAAATGCATTTAGTTGAACTTGTGATACGGAGGAATATCATACATACTAATATAAAGATAGTCATTATTCTTGTGGCCCGTGGTGTTTAATCTAGTCAAAATTCTAAATGTTCATGTATCAAAGAAGTGACTTAACTGTGTTTCTTTTCAGAGTGAGGATATCTGTTCTCTTTCCCATCTACCTTTTATCTCTGCACATCTCCTCATCCCTTACAATTTCTACTTGAGGAAACTAAATATTAAATGCAGTAACGATGAGAACTGTAATTACACGGCACTTCCCTTAACAAAATTAGGGTGCTGTGTGAAGCAAGAGGGAGAAAACACTTAAACAACACCTGAAATTACTGCAAACACAAAATCACAATCGGCTCCAAGTCCATTCATTAGTTTATTGACTGGAAAACATGTTATGAATAAAATCTGGTCGGCAGCCTGTCTGTACATGGTCATTCAAAGAATAGAAAAACACAGCTAAAAATCCGCAGTCTACGTGGCAAGTCTACAGTACAAGTCTGTTGCTGAGGAGGCTGACTCCCTTGACTTTGAACTAAACGTTGTCTCTCCAGAGCTGGTCTGCAATCAGCCTGGTGCTCCTGATGGTAATTGCCATGGGGGATGATTGAGAGCAGCGTTCACTAACGCTGGCATGCTGTAATTACAAGGCGAAGTTCTTCTATGGCAGCTCCCCCCTATTTGAGTCAAATGAGAGGATATGTTGATTAACCAGAAGGGGGGTGTAGAACATGATGTGGTGCCGGGATACGCGGCTCAACTGATGGATCTTGGCTGCCTATCTGCTGGGTTGTCAGTTTCACAACAGTGCTTGATTGCGCTGCTGTCTGGAGTCTGGTTTACTTGCACCTGGACTCTCAGCCAAGAATTCTTGTACAAAGCACAAATGTGGAGATGATCTGCCAATGTTAATTGGGTAGTGGGAGTAGAAAATAGGAGCAGTGGCAGAAACTTAGGTTCCCTCACTTTGCCAAATGGCTCACAGGGGTGTGGGGTAAGGGGAGGAATATTTTGCAAGCTTTCATGAGAAGGCATGTGCTGTCATTTTTTTTGTTTGTTTGTTTAGGGTGACTTGGCAACACATTGACCACACATGCACTCACAAGTAAAGTGGAAAAATAAATTCCCACATTAAGCAGCATGGGAACATAGGGTGGTATGGTCAGTTTGTATTATAACTACAGAACACACCTTAAGTTAAACCTAAGCAAGTATCAATGTAGCTCCCATCATTACGGTGTTCAAATCACGATTTAACTCTTTGGAAGCCCTAATAGCATAAGGCCGTTTAGTAAAATTATGTTCTCATCGCGTTCAAATAGGTAGTAATCACATAATCAGTTTATTTCACTGATCTGTTTGCACAACTGGAAGCAGATTATGTGAATTGCTCCACCATGATGCCTTCAGGGGTTTGTGAAGTGACAACTTTGGGGACAGGGAACATGATAGACAGCTATACAAAACCTGTTTAGAAATGATATTCTGTAACACTGTTTCATTATGTGGCTGCCAATAATGGATGATGATGAACCCACCAACCAAGTCACAACAAGGGTTTCAATGTATGTCATTTTATATTGGCCCTAATGTATTATAAATGTAGAGTGCACTATTTTGAAAGTGTTCTGAATATTTATGTATTTTAAAAATAATGCATCACATACATTTATTAGATTTCTATCTCATAGAGTAGGTGACATTGAACAATGGTGTGGCTAGTATCAATCAGTTTTCACCTACATGCAGGGTTAGGAAGGTTACTTTCTAAATGTAATAGGTTACCAATTAGAAGTTATGCTATATTTTAAAATGTAATAGTAGTGTAACTATTTCAATTACAAAGTAATATAACTTGTAATATTTAATTACTTTTTGATTACTTTTCTCAGTTTCGAAGTTAATGTTTTCACTGTTAACCATTTTAAAAAGACAGCTTGAGAGGCAGTCTAACTTGCAGACGGGTGGCGCTGCAAATTCAAACATGAGAACCAATCAAAAGCATCAGAATAGTATCAAACAACTGTGGCTGGAAATGGCAAAGGAGGACGTGCAGATGAAAAACATATAAAGCAACAAAATGAATATTATTCAACATGTAGCCAAGCTTTTTCCAGAGACATTTCAGATGTAACTCCCAATGTAATCATGAACATTTCCTAATAACTATAATTTACAGTTACATATATTTTGTAATTAAATTACATAACTAAATTACATGTAACTAGTTACTCCCCAACACTGCCTACATGTTTAGTTTGAGTTCAGTGTCAGTCTAAAAATACAAGCTGTAACATGTTCTTTCTGTATATATCTATACAAGGTCACTTTTAAAATGAATATACTCCACCGTAAACTCAGCTGCCATAATTATACTTTAGGTGGCTGATTAATTAGACACACATATACGTGCCTGTAGTATAACTGGACCATAGTTGCCTATAATGAGGTGGACTAGGAGGAGGAATCACATCCTGACAGTAAGTTGGTGGCAGTATGTTTCTACTTTCAGAAAGCTTAGCAGATGGGGAGGTTGTTTGTAAAATTAGAAGCTCCATGTTTCTGTTTTAAGGCCCTGAATTAGGTGGGGC